GAAAGAACTATTTAAAAGGAATATATGATGAAGCATTATTTGTATGACAACAGTCCAGAATAAGAGGTGCATAGCAAACAGGCCTGCGGGTGAGGGAGAGGGAGGAAACGATACAACATTGAACTGATTTTTTTTTAAAAAGTGTGAACTGGTAGGGAGGAAAATGAATGAATGCAAATCCAACTTTTCTGTAACTTTTTGTTACAATCACAGTTTTAAAAATAGAATTGTTAAGGCCATCTACTTAGGGTATTTCTGTACAGCAGCTCTGGATAACAGGATCAGCAGTAGAAATCAGTGGGAATGTTTCCATCAATAGGAATATTTTCCCTACTTCTCTCTTTCCTTTTTCTTTTATTTTCTCCTACTTCCCTCCCAGTCACCCATTCATCCATCCAACCCCATTTTCTCATCCACTTGCCCATTTTTCTGCTTTCCCTCCTTCCATCCCAAACCTTATTGCATCTTCATTAGAGCCTATATCTCACTTAACTTGTTTCAGTCTTTTGGTGTGGGATGTTTTTCTTTTTAACTTTTATTGTGTGGTGTGGTTTTTCTGAGGGGAAGAAAATGAACTTTTATTGGACTATTTTTTAGTAAACATACTGGTTCTTTTCACACCAGATCTTTTCCCCTTTCCTTAACCCACTCCTCTCTCCCTCCACCCGTCAAATTGAGTAACCCTAACATTAAGCCCTCCCCCTTGGATCCTAGTACTCATTCTACAATAATGGTTTTATACAGTATTAGTTCTTATGAGACTGAGTTAATTCACTTAGCATAATGCTCTCCAGTCCCTCTCATGTTAGGTAGTAATTTACAAAAATCATTGCTCCTGTGTGCTGCATAGTATTCCATTGTGTGAATGTGCCACAGCTTCTCAATCCATTCCATTGAGGTTGGCCATTTGGGCTGTTCCCATATTCTTGCACTGGTGAATAATGCTACTGTGAGCATTGGTGTACAAGTCTCTGTGCCTCAGTTCTCATTTTCTTAGTGTATATTCCAAGCAGCAGAATAACTGGGTCATATGAAATTTCTATGTTCAACTTTTTGAGGAAATGCCAAAATGCCTTCCAGAGTGGTTGTACTATTTTACAATCCCACCAACAATGTATAAGAGTTCCAATCTCTCCACATCCTCTCCAACAGTTATTCCTTGCTGCCCTGTTAAACTTTGCCACTGTTACTGGGGTGAGATGGTATCTCATTGTTGTTTTGATTTGCATTTCTCTTAGTGATTTGGAGCATTTCTTCATGTGTCTGTTGGCCATCCGAATGTCCTCCTCTGTGAAAAATCTTTTCTTATCTTTTGCCCATTTTGTGATTAGAGTAGAATTTGTTGAGAAAAAGAAATCTAATTTGAAGTGGATTACTGGGGGAAGTGAAGTGTTATAGTGCCATCTACTGGTGCCTGAGTATCACCGCAGCTAAGGAGACTGTCCTTTCCATTAGTGGGAACTGTAATTCCAGAATTGTTGTTGTTGTGTACCGTCCAATGGGAACCGATCCAGAACTGACCCTTCAGCGGGTTTTCAGAGGCAGTTAATCACACGAAAGGAGATTGCTGGTCTTTCACACGCAGAACAGCTGGTGGATTTGAACTGCAAGCCTTCAGGATTGCAGCTCAGGTTCTTGCCACTGGCCTCCATTAAGTACAATTCATAGCGAGCCTATGAACAGACCTGAACCCTGTTCTATCTTGTGCCATCCTCATCATCTCTGAAATGTTGCATTCACTGTGTCAATCCATCTCATTGGAGGTCTTTCTCTCTTTTGCTGATACTCTATCTTTCCTAGCATGATGTCCCTTTCCAAGGAATAGCCTTGCCCAGCTACATGTTCAAAGTGTGACAGATGATGCTTTTCCATCTTTGCCTCTAAGGAGCACTCTGGCTGCACTTTGTCCAAGACATAT